CACGTCAGCAAAAACACTCTCAAATATTATTATATATAGATTCGTCGAGTTTTATCCAAGGTTCTCGTCAACTCTGTATCCAAGGTAATAAATATTTGTTCTTTTCATTGGTTAGAATTATAGGGTGCAGGATAGTATTGACGTCTTAAAGACATAACATGGGCAAGATACTATGAGAAGCTTGACTATTCTGCTTCGACAGATCAACAGGTGAAATTATATCACTAAATTATTAGATCTCTGTTATTGCTATGAATATATGCTTTATGTTAGGATTTCAAGTTTTGCCTTCGTTTAGAAGAATTATATTCACACGACGAAGAACACGATGAATTCAATTAAAGCTTCCTAACTGGTACTTCGTTGTTCCTTTTTTTTTTGGTTAATTATCATGTTTATTGTTTCCAAAATTATTTTTCCTGGTTAAAACACAAAAATTCAATTTAATTTTTCCAAAATTAATTAGATTTCATTAAGGGTAATTAAGTAATTACGTAAAATCAATGACTCAACAAGAGCCGAGAGTCCGACACGTCAGCAAAAACACTTCTCAAATATTATTATATATAGATATCATGATTATTGTTTCCAAAATTATTTTTTCCTGGTTAATTCCGAAATTCAATTTAATTTTTCTAAAATTAATTAGATTTCATTAAGGGTAATTAAGTAATTACGTAAAATCAATGACTCAACAAGAGCCGAGAGTCCGACACGTCAGCAAAAACACTTCTCAAATATTATTATATTTAGATCTCTGTTATTGCTATGAATATATGCTTTATGTTAGGATTTCAAGTTTTGCCTTCGTTTAGAAGAATTATATTCACACGACGAAGAACACGATGAATTCAATTAAAGCTTCCTAACTGGTACTTCGTTGTTCCTTTTTTTTTTGGTTAATTATCATGTTTATTGTTTCCAAAATTATTTTTCCTGGTTAATTCCGAAATTCAATTTAATTTTTCCAAAATTAATTAGATTTCATTAAGGGTAATTAAGTAATTACGTAAAATCAATGACTCAACAAGAGCCGAGAGTCCGACACGTCAGCAAAAACACTTCTCAAATATTATTATATATAGATATATGATACTAAATCAACACTACTTTTTCGTTTATATAAAATTACTTTTAAGATAACAATATATATATTTTATTTGTTTTTAAGGTAAGTAATTGTAAATAAGTGTAAACAATGTAACTAAAAAACAAAAAATAGAATGAATTATTTACTCGAGAGTTAGAAGAATACATCAAAATGATTGTTACAAAAAAGTACTAAAAGGACTATTTATCAAATTAACTCAATCAATGTAAATTGCTATAACTGACAAATTATGGATGAAAAAACCCGCACGTCGTGCGGGTATTAGCCTAGTATATAAAGGATGTGACAATCCTTAACTCTTGAGCTAACTTTTGGGTTAAGTTAGGCTACATTCCTAATAAAAAACTCAAACCCAAAAAAAAAATCCGTCAATTCAATGAGTCGTGACAATGTTTCGTTTGCTAAATTCAATCACTAAACATGATTCGATCAATAGATATATCACCAAAAACAAAATCTCTCTTCTATTTTTTCATTGTGTAAATTTAGCCATTATAATAACGCTTTACTTTGAAATTTATAAAATGATATGATTAGGAGAATATCATCAATTAATCGTAAGAAATAGAAGAATTAATTGTATAGCCTAAAAGTATTGGTGTCTTCCAAAAGGACCAAACAAAACCCATAAAGATGTAAATGGATGTATTCGAATTATAAGGCCGAGTTCATTGGGCCTTATAACTATACAAATTTACAAAATGGGATGCAAAATAATACACAAACTAAAGCCCATATATGAAAAGTAAATAAATGTTCTGATAATCTTTCATTTCATTTTACCCGTCTAAGACCAACACCGATTCGCACGCCGACTCGTGGACTTCGGAGAGCAATCATGACCAAGCACGATCGATGACCAAAGATACCTTTCTTAATATAATCGCATTACTCTCATTCTAACCGTTATGGACAACATTTTACCCGGAATAATGCCATTAAATTGATACATTTAAAGAGAGAGGTTTGACTAGTGACCAAATTTTAATCTCCAAATTGAAATAAATACATTAAAAGATGAAAAGTGATAGTTGGTGGCCTTGTTCAAAAAATCGCTAGGCGCTAGTCGGGCGGCGAGGGTGGGCCTAGCGCCTAGCGAAAAAATCGGAGATTATACGGGATTTAATCGGGATTAGTTTTATGTATTATTTTATTAAATTAAATATTATTTTGTCATATATATATATATATATTTAATTTAATGTAATGTTAGACATAAATATATTGTTATATATATATATGGTCAAAAGAAATAATTAGATGAGGTGAAATAAATAATTTATTGCGTCAATTGATATTACGGTATATGACAAATATCGGCTCACGTATATACACCATAAAGGAAGAGTAATAAAATATTTTATCTTTAAAAAAAAAAAGCTATGAAGGCAATCAGGCATGTAAGTGAAAGAGTCCCACATCGGATGGGAAAGAAACTGAGAACTATTGCCACTCCTATAAATAAAGTACCCTAGCATTCATTCTCTTCACGGTTAAAAGTCTGGGCTTTGTGATATTGAGGCCCGTTTAGCCCATGAAATATTTTTTTTAAAAAAAATCGGTTCTAACAACCGATTTTAAGCCTTTACGCGGTGGATAAATCGGTTACCGATTTTATGAGCGATTTGACCAAAATCGCGTCGGTTAAGCTCCGATTTTTATAACAGGGGTTGGTGGTAACAAAGTAAAAACTAAAGAAAGACTTCCATTTTCTGAAAACTCACAATGTTTTACCTTTTGGGATTTGGTTTTACTTCAAAAAAGAACATTTATAACAGAAACTATACTACTACAGAGAGAACATGCAAATCCAATGGATTTGTGTTTCAGAGTTTCACACCTTTTATTTATTTCTGTTTTTGGTGAATCAATCTAAATCATGTCAAAAAAAAAAAAAAACAGAAAAACAGAAATAGTATGATTCCATTAATATCTAGTCAGAAAAATAAAAACAACAGCTGGACTAAATAGCTTAAATTCTAAAGTTTGTTATAATTCATATTTTAAAAATAAATTCCGAACTTTTAATCCAATTTAAATGATAAAAAATAGATTACAATGTTCAAAAAAATATTTAAATAGGAAGATCTTTCTCGTATATTTTCTTATAAAGAATGTTAACATTTATGTATATATATCATCTCTCGCTAAATATGTAAATTTCCTTAAATTATAAATATGTGAAGAAACTAAGTAAAGATCTTTATATAAATATATAAAAATAACCATGAAGAATCGTATAATCTTGAAGTGTTGTTGTACTTTGTTAAAGCTGTGTCCTTAACGGCTTAAACCCAAAACTGAAACACAGAACAAAGCAGCCCCAAACTTGTGAGTCTGAGATTCCTCAGCTCTCTCTGAAACACAAAAGACATTAATAAGTTTGGTCTGGTTTTAATTTTTATTTTTTAAATTAAAGCTTTTATATTTTTTCATTCCTTATGCAATCACTAGGTCAGATCAACAACAACCCTAATAAAGATTCACAGTAATTTTTTTTTTTTTTTTATAATTTCACAAAAACCCTAAGGGTTTTCTTACATCGCCGTCGATTTTTTTCTTTCTTCTAACTCTCTATAAAACCCAATTTCTTCTTAAAGCTTCGATTTTTCTATTTCTCATCTGA